TGAGTGTTCTCTCCCTTCTGTAAAAAATAATTTTCTACTTCTCTCTCTTGTGATTCGCTTATCCATAGAATATCTAACACCCATTTTTCCGTATTTTGAGCACAGACACACAGACAACCATTTCGTAAGACTAAAGTCAAGGGAATATATATGTTCAGATATTGCGTGGTCAATAGAACGGGATATACTGTTTCTGTTCTATAAAGAAAAAAAATTCTCTTTCTTTCTTACGGTCCAAAAAATAATAAATGGTTATGATCCATAGAATATTAGATATAATATGAAAGAATCAATCACAAGGTTGATAAATATATCTGTTATAGTCTCGTTTTTAGGTCAAAATCAATCTAATCCTTTTAATTCCCACAGTTTTATGGCTTAAAACAGCCTGACTGCCCTTTATTTCGGCAGCCATTTTGTCATTTTTACATAGTTTGGAATCTGACGGCTAGCCCTTTTCAAAATTCCTGCTAGCGTCAATTGACGGCTAGTGGGAAACAACCAGTGTTGTTCCAACAGTAAGCAATCATTTGCGAACTTCCCTATCCTTCCCTATATTTAGACAATTAATGGTCCATTTACGAGCATTTTTCAGTGCTTTTATCTTCATTCGGTAATTGCTTAAGAATGATGTAAAAATCACATAATAATTGGACAACTAGTTACACATAAATGATGTTAACTTAAAGTCATATAAATGACCAAAAACTGGTCATTACGAAATGATCATTCTCTGATCATTTTTTTCTACTAGATCATTAATGGCCATTTTTATATCATTTTTGCTAATGATAACAAAATGAATGAGATCATTTCTAGCTCATTTTTATACCATTAATTGGCCATTAACTGCTCGTTAATGTCTCATTTTTATTCACCTGGGATTATCACATTTTAATGATTGGCGTGGGAATGAATTACTATCTTGCCTATAAAAGACAAACGGCAGAAAAAGACGAAGAAAATCTGTTATCTGTTTCTTCTTTATCTTCAACATCTTTATCTTCATCATCTCTATCTTTCTCGCCTCATAGTCACTATATTTTCTTTTCTTCTGCATAGGCTACCTAATGTCACATTTGTATTCCTGTATGCGAATAAAAAAGATCTGCTATACGCTAAGGCTCGACCAAAAGTACAAAAAGAGAAAAAAAATCAAAGACGTACTATGCGAAAAGAATATAACATTAGTTATTTGCTATGACTCTCTTAATATCAGGTATCTATGCCACTATAGCCTTATTTTATTCTTATTTTCACTCTTTCTCTCTTATTGTATATATTCAGTAAACGCATATTTGTTATAGAGAAATGACCATTTTATACTTGATAAAGAAATTCGAAACTGACCATGTGACTTTCTGATTTCGTCTTTTTCTTAGTGTTTAGTTTCTCTTGTTATGCCTACTACTTACTGAAGATATAATAATAATAATAATTACAAGAAAAATATGATATTTTTCTCTGATACACATATCAACATAGTTTTTGCATACATTTTTTTTTTTGTAAAACAAATGGATTATCAAAGTAGCTAGACCTTTTTAGAGCAGACTTTTACATAAACTGGTTATGTGTTCGCTACACTAAAGCAATTAATTATTCAAATTATATATTTTACTAATAGTTTTGTTTGATTTTGAGATTTTTAGATTATAAGAAAATTCACACATTCTTTTCAAAATATTCTTCATGGACAATGATTATGAGCTTCGTAAACTTCTCCTCAACACGGAGTTTGCATTGTCAGACGATGATAAAGACTATTTAATATTTGTAATTGGATCGGATATTGGAAAACGTTTACAAAATAGTAAATTAATTGACGTGTTTGAAGCATTAATTGAACGAAACAAAATTTCGTCAAATAATTTAGATTATTTAATTGAACGATTAGAAGCAATAAAACGACTGGATGTGGCACAATATTTAAAAGGTATTTAGATGATAACGAGTATTATCATTTATACCTCAAAAATTTTGTCTTTGTCTATGTGTGATGATAATTTAAGTTTGATCAATCGAAATCTTCTAGGTGAATTAATGCTCTGAAAAATAACTATTTNGTCTTTTTTTTTATGTAGAACACAAACCATCACTTTCGAGAGTCGAAAACAATTTTTCAAGTCCAGAAATGTCATTGAAAGACATTCTTTCAATATTACGTGACGAACAAAGCCAGGAAAGCGATTCCAATTTACAAGATTATCTTGAAGACGATTCGTTGGATCTACGATGTTTGTATCATATGCAGTTTATGTTTTATGAGTTTCTTAAAATTCTCTACAGTTGTAATATTTTTATGGTGTTGATACTGAAACACTGAAAAATAGTTATTTTTCAGAGCATTAATTCACCTAGAAGATTTCGATTGATCAAACTTAAATTATCATCACACATAGACAAAGACAAAATTTTTGAGGTTTTTACTATTGTTCAGAAGAAATATGAAAAAAACATATTAGCATATCAGAAAATATTTTTGAGAAAGAAGTGATATTTTGGAACACTGAAAACATAGGCCTCAGTCTTGTCTGTTTGTAGTAAAACATCAATTCGGATCTATTAAGATCTTTTAGGTCGAATATTACTGAAAAATGAGTCAAAGGAGAAAGAAAACCACTCTACAATATATGTAACAAGCAAGCCATGCCATTTTTGTTTAGGAAACTCACTATAACTTTACCCTTAACGCTCCAGTTTAGATGAACAAATCAGAATTGAAAAATGTGAAAAAAATTACTTATTTTCTTTGAAACTTAATCATTCTAGCGTCGTTGTTTAATGATATGTCTATGCATCGTTTCGGATGAAAAATAATAAAGCTTTCTAAACTATAGTTTTAAATATACTATTTTAGCGCTTGAAATATCACCATCAGGTTTATCATCAAATTTAATCAATACTCGTGAGCTTACTGACATTGACGAAGTGGAAAATACAAATATTACATATGAAAATGAATCGTCTGAATCGTCAAAGTTATTACAAAAAATACCGGATAAATATCTATTGTTAATAAATCGTGCTCTTAGTCAACGAAATACAGTTATTGATAGTGATACCTATCAGAGTAGTGGACTCATTTCTTGTCGGTTGACAGAATATTATTATTTGAAAAAAGTTGAAGAACAATCGATTAGTAACTCATTGCCCTGTTTTTTATCATTTTGTCTGGTACTACCGAATTTAAGTGGTCAATTTGGGCCTTTATCTTATTCTCCTCATCTAAAATTAATAGAAGATGATGACAACCTAAAGCAAGAACTAGTATATTATATCGAAAAGAAGTATAAAAAGTCTGCAAAGACAATCGGTTTGAAGAAAGCAAATAAACTTATACGTTATCTACAAACTCACAGAATAAAATTGAATCAGATTGATCTGATCATATTCAATGTTTGTACACGGCGACGTATAAACAATAAAAGTAATGAGGATGAAATTCAATCTTATATCACATTAATGAACTATCTTAACGATTTACACTTATCAATTGATCAAAAACCAAGGATCATTGTTATTAGAACAAAACCGGATCAGGAAGTATCAGTTTGGGATGAATTAATTTGTACTTACAATCAACACTAACAAATATCTATATCCAGTTTTATCGGTACTATCCAAGGTGTTAAGTACATTAAATTTGATTCATTTATTAGTCTACCTATTGATAACTCTTCTTTAAAAATCCAGAACTGTTCTGCTGTGTTTGAACTTCAAATACAAATGTTTTTAATGTGCAAATGCAAATTAAGGGGCCCTTCCGGATTTTCTAAAAATCCTCAGTTTGACAAAAAACTAAGACCTAATTCAAAAATCGACGCCAGTCAGTCCATGTAGTTTCTTTTCCTCTTTTAAACAAAATAAAGAATGAACTCTCAACGACAAGTCACTATTAAAAATCTTGAGACGCATTTCAGGTGTAACTCTTATATAGAGAAAACGCCGTATAAAATACTCAATTTTTAGGGAAACAGAGCAGCTAAGATAGAAAATCATTTTGCGACGAAACAATAGACGATATTTATTAAAATTTT